GCATTTTTACGAGTTTCCTTCCTTTGCGTGGTTTTTCTTAGTCACATGCTTGTGAGTCACACCTGTCTTCCTCTCTCAATGAGGGCAGAGACACGAGAAGAACAACTAGGAGAGAGAAAAAGGGCGGAGGCGAGCCCAGGAGATGGAAGCCTAGGATGCAATTGCGTCAATGGAATGAGAAAAACCAGTCACTTTTCTGATACCTAAGAGAACGTGACAAACGTCAAAATGTGCTTTACATAGAAGTCATGATTGACGGATAGCACACACTCGTATGTTCATTGGCATGAACTGATTTTTAAGGAAGTGCTTTTTGCACTTGATTTCTGACCTGATGCAGGATTCATCTTAGTCATCCTTGGCTTGCAGGACAGTGCTTCTTCCCCTGGGTGGAAAATGGGCATTCCACATCTTCAGGGCGAACGCACCAGGAGGGGGACACGGTACAGATCGTCTGTGACCAGGGCTACAGCCTCACCAATGACCAGGATGTCATCACATGTGCGGAACACGGCTGGTCCACGCCTCCTACATGCAGCCGCATCAGTAAGTAGAACGCTGTCCTCTGGGATTCTGTCTCCTTCTTCATTTCATAAAGAAATCGCTGTGGCCCTGGATGGTGTGGTGCAGTGGATACAGCACCAGCCTGCAGACTGAAGGGTCCTGGGTTCGATTCCGGTCAAGGGCACATGCCTGAGTTGCAGGCTCGATCCCTATTAGGGGGTGTTCAGGAGGTAGCCAATCAATGATTCTTTCTCATCATTGATGTTTCTCTCTCTCTCCCTCTCCCTTCTTCTCTGAAATCAATACAGATATATTTAAAAAAAGAAATAGCTGCGGCCCTGGCTGGTGTAGCTCAGTTGATTGAGTGACATCCCTTGTACCAATAGATCACTGGTTTGATCCCGGTCAGGGCACATGCTGGGGTTGTGGGCTTGATCCCCAGTAGGAGGCATGCATGAGGCAGCCAATCGATGTTTCTTTCTCTCTCTCTCTCTCTCTCTCTCTCTCTCTCTCTCTCTCTCCCCTTTCCTCTCTATCTAACAATTAATTTAAAAAAAATTTGAAATTAACATATAGAAGCTTAAATCTTACCCAAAAAAATTGGTTTATCTTGTTTTCAATCTTGCATGTAAATTTGTGAAGATTTTCAGTCTCCATTGTGTATAAATGATCACTGCATTAGAGATCCCTTTTTTCCTCTTTATTCAGCTCTCTCCTGTGGCAGCCCTCCCACAGTGCAAAATGCCTTTATACCAAACCAGAAGCCTAGGTATCGACATGGGGACACAGCACATTATCAGTGCAGACACCCTTTGGGCCTCTTCGGGAATGCAGAAGTGACATGTCTAAGTGGGGAGTGGACAGACCCACCTGAGTGCAAGGGTAGGTGTCTCATTCTCCCCTCCCAGTTTCTGTGCAGCTTCTGTAAGCACTTGGTGACTAGACTCCTGTCCAGCTGGCCTTCATTGGTTACTCAGGTTGGTTGCTCTATCATTTCCTGTAAATCGGTTTGGGGCCGGGAGGAGGTGAGTGTAGCTCCCACCTACTCCGCAGCGCCCTTAAAATCAACTGCTCACTCAATAAACCAACAATATCCTCTCTTAGAGCCCACAGGACAATGTGGGCCCCCTCCTGCTATTGACAATGGAGACATTACCACGTATCCATTAGCAGTCTACGCTCCCGGGTCTTCAGTGGAGTATCAATGCCAGCTCTACTATGAACTTGAGGGAAACAGGAGAATAATGTGCCGTGATGGACAGTGGTCTGAGCCACCCAAATGCTTAGGTAAGTCCTTTAATTTCCTCGTAGACCCTGGGAAATCCATGTAATGAATGTCATGTTTGCTGTTTACAACAGAACTTGCATGGACAATCACCTATTCTGTTGACAACCAAATAGTCATGTCTGAGGGTATAAAGTCTAAAAAATTCTTGAGCATCCACAGCAAGAAACTATCATTTTTCTTTATTTTAATTTATTTTCCCATCACCACTTATGCCCCCACCACCCTCATCCACCTCCACCACCCTCTTCAAGGATTCTTTAATGAAAGCCCTTAAAAGCATAGCTGACATTGTGAATGTTGATTATAAGATGCAATGATCACACATTCCACAGAGCACCTCATTTTTACATCATTGATAGTTTAGAATGAGTTATGGCAACATGGTGGATTTTCAATGAATTGGTTTGGAAAAGGGTTTGAGAATAAATTCCTAGATCTGTGTAGGAGATGCTGCATGAAACTGTAAAATTCTGTGGAAAATACTCATAAAATACTTAGTTTTATTTCTTTTTTTTACCTTCAGATGCCTGTGTCATATCAGAAGAAATCATGGAAGCACATAACATAGAGTTGAGATATTCATATGCAAAAAAATTTTATTCCAGAACAAATGATTATGTTGAATTTAGGTGTCGTCAAGGTTACTATCGTAAACTGTCACCAGACTCTGCATTCCGAGCACAATGTCGAGAAGGAAAGCTGGAGTATCCCACTTGTGCATAAAATGAGAGCTGTGTGGCAGTTTTCACATTAAAATATGCGCCTTCATTCAGAATTTTTAAATATTAATCCAGTTCATCTCAATTTATTTTTCTGTAACTCGCTTTTATTCACTAATCAGAATTTGCATTAAATACCATGTGGGTGATGTCATTGTAATCTGAGACCAACGGGCCACTTCTCATAAGCATCTCATGAAAATGTGACAAACCAACATGCTGTGTGTTCTGTTCATGAAATGTCTCTGGCCAGAAATCACCTCAGTGCCTGCCTCTATCCCTCATCGATGTTTCTCTCTCTCTAAAATCAATAAAACGTGAAAAAGTTGAATATCAAGAATGTGCTGAAATTCTTGGACCTGGTGGTATGGTCTGTTGTGAATTTACCAAAAAATCAGTGCTGTCCTACAGACAGGACCCTACACTGTGTGACACACTGGGTGGTGTCCATAGACCCCTAAGGACTGCAGTTGGGTGAGAGCAAAGAGAGAAGGAGAGACAGTCACAGGGACAGGCAGTCAGAGCTACTCCCACGTGAATCTCCTGGTTGAGAAAGAACCTCACCCATCCTCAAGAAGTTTAAAGATTCGAGTTTTATATCCAGTCTTACTGTGACTGTCCCTAAGGAAAGCTGTACACACACATGTCTGGGAACGAAGTCAACAAATGATTGTGAAATCCTTCATGTAAACACACAGATATTGCGAAAGTCTTTGAACTTTGTTATCTACCGAGTGACCTCAGTGAACCAGCTTCCCGGTACTGTCACTTAAATTCAGGGCCACACTTGGTAACGGCTCAGGAAGCCGAGTTAAAACCACACAGAAGAGCGCTGGACTCTCTGTGCTAACACACCCGGGGAGCCCCACCATGCTGTTACTAGTCACGGTCATCCTCACCCTGTGGGTCTCCTGGGCTCGTGGACAAGGTGAGTGGAAACTGATGGGGATATTAGCTCCTTCTTAAGTAGAACTTCGCTCATTTTCATTTGTCTCTAGTTTTTTTTTTTAATCCTCACCCGAGGATATTTTTTCCCATTGATTTTTAGAGAAAGAGTGAATATGAGGGAGAAGGGGCGGGGGGGGGGGGCGGAGAAAGCAAGAGAGAGATAGAGAAACATCAATGTGAGAGAAACATATGGATTGATT